ACACAGAGACACACACACACACACACACACACACACACACACACTTTGTTAGGACAACATGGTTTTTTATTGCATTTCCACTTTAACTAATTTCAATATTTATTTATTTTGTACGTAATTTCAGTCAAACGTTTTTAACATTTATTTTCAATATATATCGTACTGAATTAATATATTTATCTTATCTAATAATTCCCAACAATAAAATGTGATTTTTGGGTCCAACCCTCCTCAGTCAAATGAAGCGTCTAAAGCTGCTGTTCCACTAATGGCCACTAGATGGTGGTGCTGTGTTCAGGTACCTGGACCATCTTGGTGTGGAGTCCTTGTCCCATCTCCGTCCCGCCGTGAGTCAACAACACAGAGCCGTCAGTGTAGATGTGAACCAGAGCGCCGGCCTGACACACACACACACACACACACACACACACACACACACACACACACACACACACACACACACACACACACACACACACACACACACACACACACACACACACACACACACACACACACACACACACACACACACACACACACACACACACACACACACACAATAACGGGAATTCATGACGTCCTAAAAACCCCAAATGTCAGTCTTCCATTGTTTGTGAGTCTGTGTTGTTGGATCTCACCTGGTTGAGGAAGAGGGCGGTGAAGCTGATGCCAAACTTTGTTGGAACGATGGCAAGGCCTCGCTTGGTCCATCGGTTCTGTCTGATGAGACGAGAAACAAAGAAAGAGTTCATTTTAACCACCGAAAAACGTACAGATATTTCCAGATTTCTCTCCTTCTTGTTACTTGTTGTAGAGTTCGATGGCGGCGCGGCGCTGTTGGTACTCCGAGCGTAACATGCACTCGTCCCAGCAGCGGTCCAACGTGAACTGACCCAGGATCTGGTTATAGGGCGTCGACTGGCCCTCCATGTACAGGTTCAACCGACGCACCTGCAGGGAAGTCAACGGTTTACTGAGTGAGATTTTAACGGTTTGTTCTACGACATAAAATACGTCAGTAAACACCCCATTTAAAAAAAAGTGTTGCTAACGAGTCTAAATGAGACGACTAAACGTCATCATGCCCAACATTAGCCTCCTTTAGCTTAGCGGTGGTGACGTGAAGTCATGTGACCGTGCTGTAGTTCCTTTATAGCCCAACATTAGCCGCCTTTAGCTTAGCGGTGGTGACGTGAAGTCATGTGACCGTGCTGTAGTTCCTTTATAGCCCAACATTAGCCACCTTTAGCTTAGCGGTGGTGACGTGAAGTCATGTGACCGTGCTGTAGTTCCTTTATAGCCCAACATTAGCCGCCTTTAGCTTAGCGGTGGTGACGTGAAGTCATGTGACCGTGCTGTAGTTCCTTTATAGCCCAACATTAGCCGCCTTTAGCTTAGCGGTGGTGATGTGAAGTCATGTGACCGTGATGTAGTTCCTTTATAGCCCAACATTAGCCTCCTTTAGCTTAGTGGTGGTGAAGTGAAGTCATGTGACCGTGCTGTAGTTCCTTTATAGCCCAACATTAGACACCTTTAGCTTAGCGGTGGTGACGTGAAGTCATGTGACCGTGCTGTAGTTCCTTTATAGCCCAACATTAGCCTCCTTTAGCTTAGCGGTGGTGACGTGAAGTCATGTGACCGTGCTCTAGTTCCTTTATAGCCCAACATTAGCCACCTTTAGCTTAGCGGTGGTGACGTGAAGTCATGTGACCGTGCTGTAGTTCCTTTATAGCCCAACATTAGCCACCTTTAGCTTAGCGGTGGTGACGTGAAGTCATGTGACCGTGCTCTAGTTCCTTTATAGCCCAACATTAGCCACCTTTAGCTTAGCGGTGGTGACGTGAAGTCATGTGACCGTGCTGTAGTTCCTTATAGCCCAACATTAGCCACCTTTAGCTTAGCGGTGGTGACGTGAAGTCATGTGACCGTGCTGTAGTTCCTTTATAGCCCAACATTAGCTCCTCCCCTCACGTACCTCATCAGAAGGCTTCCCCAGGCTCTGAGCCACGTCAGTGATCCAGTTCTCCGTCACCATCATCCCTTGAGGTCCTCCGAAGCCTCTGAAGGCGGTGTTTGACGGCAGGTTGGTTTTACACAGGAAGCCACGGCCTCTAACGTTGGTCAGACTGTATGAGTTCTCCATGTGGAAGAGAGCGCGCTCCATCACCTGGAGGACAGACAAACAGACATCAGCACATCGTCAACATGGAGAGGACGGCTGTTAGAGAAGAGACTCACCGACAGAGAGAGGTCCATGGAGTGTCCTACGTTACTGTAGTACGACACGTCCAGAGCCACAACCTTTCCACTGTTCAGGAAACCCACCTGCAAGAGAGAGGAAGAAGAGGAAGAAGAAGAGGAAGAAGATACTCATTCATCCCTGAATCAGACCAAAGCAAATGAACTGCAGGTCTCAAAATGCCCTAATTATACAACTTTAAAATGACTCTTGCTGCCAAAAGTACTCCAATACTTCAACTGCTAGTAATGAGCCCCCCCCCCCACCTTGTATTTCCCGTAGAAGGGGTGTCTCCCCCCAGTGATCAACATGTCCTCGTCTCGGTCCAGCATGCACCTCACAGGCCTCCGTAGCCTGGAACACAGGTAGACTTTAGATTTCAAAATAAGAGAATCTACGTAAACATGATAATTAGACATTTCAAAATAAGAGCCTCTAATTAAAGGTGTATTCTCACTTGTTGGCTGCCACGGCGACCACGGTGGACAGCAGCGTGGTGCGGGACTCCTTCCCCCCGAAGCCCCCCCCCATCCTCTTCACCCGCACCACCACCCGATTGGCCGAGACGCCCAGAGCCTTCGCCACCAGAGACTGAGAGATAGCATTTTAATATCATTATATAACCCACATATCATATGTATTAGTAGATTCAAGTATTACTACCTGTGTTTCAGAGTATTACTACCTGTGTTTCAGAGTATTACTACCTGTGTTTCAGAGTATTACTACCTGTGTTTCAGAGTATTACTACCTGTGTTTCAGAGTAGTATTACCTGTGTTTCAGAGTAGTATTACCTGTGTTTCAGAGTATTACTTCAGAGTAGTATTACCCATGTTTCAGAGTATTACTTCAGAGTAGTATTACCCATGTTTCAGAGTAGTATTACCCATGTTTCAGAGTAGTATTACCCATGTTTCAGAGTAGTATTACCTGTGTTTCAGAGTATTACTTCAGAGTAGTATTACCTGTGTTTCAGAGTATTACTTCAGAGTAGTATTACCCATGTTTCAGAGTAGTATTACCCATGTTTCAGAGTATTACTTCAGAGTAGTATTACCCATGTTTCAGAGTAGTATTACCCATGTTTCAGAGTAGTATTACCTGTGTTTCAGAGTATTACTTCAGAGTAGTATTACCTGTGTTTCAGAGTATTACTTCAGAGTAGTATTACCCATGTTTCAGAGTAGTATTACCCATGTTTCAGAGTATTACTTCAGAGTAGTATTACCCATGTTTCAGAGTAGTATTACCCATGTTTCAGAGTAGTATTACCCATGTTTCAGAGTATTACTTCAGAGTAGTATTACCCATGTTTCAGAGTATTACTTCAGAGTAGTATTACCCATGTTTCAGAGTAGTATTACCCATGTTTCAGAGTAGTATTACCCATGTTTCAGAGTATTACTTCAGAGTAGTATTACCCATGTTTCAGAGTAGTATTACCCATGTTTCAGAGTATTACTTCAGAGTAGTATTACCCATGTTTCAGAGTATTACTTCAGAGTAGTATTACCCATGTTTCAGAGTAGTATTACCCATGTTTCAGAGTATTATTACCCATGTTTCAGAGTAGTATTACCCATGTTTCAGAGTAGTATTACCCATGTTTCAGAGTATTATTACCCATGTTTCAGAGTAGTATTACCCATGTTTCAGAGTAGTATTACCCATGTTTCAGAGTATTATTACCCATGTTTCAGAGTAGTATTACCCATGTTTCAGAGTATTATTACCCATGTTTCAGAGTAGTATTACCCATGTTTCAGAGTATTACTTCAGAGTAGTATTACCCATGTTTCAGAGTATTACTTCAGAGTAGTATTACCCATGTTTCAGAGTAGTATTACCCATGTTTCAGAGTAGTATTACCCATGTTTCAGAGTATTATTACCCATGTTTCAGAGTAGTATTACCCATGTTTCAGAGTAGTATTACCCATGTTTCAGAGTATTATTACCCATGTTTCAGAGTAGTATTACCCATGTTTCAGAGTATTATTACCCATGTTTCAGAGTAGTATTACCCATGTTTCAGAGTAGTACTTCAGAGTAGTATTACCCATGTTTCAGAGTAGTACTTCAGAGTAGTATTACCCATGTTTCAGAGTAGTACTTCAGAGTAGTATTACCCATGTTTCAGAGTATTACTTCAGAGTATTATTACCTGTGTTTTGGTGGGAGCCTGCGTAGACACGAACAGCTCCATCTCTCCGTCCTCTCGAGGAACAGCCAGGGTGACGTTGGTCTCCAGGTAGAAATGCTCCTGCCCTCCAATGTGCATCTCACCTGTCAGACAATCAACCAATCAGCAGTCAGCACCTGAGCAGCTTTTCACTTTCAATTCTCACTGGTATCAATGTCCATGTTTTACTGTATTTTTTGCTTTTATTTTACATTTTTAATTTTCTTGTCAGCTTTACTTCAAGGGAATCATGCGGATCACTGTTGATGTTTGACCTTGTTCTGTGAAGCACTTTGGGCTGCTTTGTGCATGAACAGTGCTACAAATAAAGTGTATTATTATTATTAACAGGAAGTGGCTCTCTATCAGTCCCTACCCTCCAGGATGTGGTCGGCCTGCTTAAAGCCCGCCTCCAGGTCTCCGTTCTGGATGGTTCTGAACGGCTGGTAGAAGGACTGGTTAGCGATGGCTTCCTGTATGGTGATGATGGGCTTCAGCTCCTCGTATTGAACCTTCACAGCTTTAGCTGCTCTCTGAGCTTCCAGCTGAGTTTCTGCCACCACGGCTCCGATGATGTGTCCGACACACGTCACCTGTAGAGAGTAAAGGAAGCACCTGTCAGTGTGGGCGGGGCTCTGAGGGAGGCTCCTGATTGGTCCACAGGAACTCACCTGTTGGTCAGCGAGCACCGTCTCGTCGTAATGGATCGGTCCCGTAGCGTTACTGCCCGGAATATCAGAGGCAAACACACAGCAGACAACGCCTGGCATCTCCTCCGCTGCACAGGAGTCTATAGAGCTGAGACACGGGTTAGTTATCTCTCAACTAGAGAGGAGTCTATAGAGCTGAGACACGGGTTAGTTATCTCTCAACTAGAGAGGAGTCTATAGAGCTGAGACACGGGTTAGTTAACTCTCAACTAGATAAGAGTCTATAGAGCTGAGACACGGGTTAGTTATCTCTCAACTAGAGAAGAGTCTATAGAGCTGAGACACGGGTTAGTTATCTCTCAACTAGAGAGGAGTCTATAGAGCTGAGACACGGGTTAGTTATCTCTCAACTAGAGAGGAGTCTATAGAGCTGAGACACGGGTTAGTTAACTCTCAACTAGAGAGGAGTCTATAGAGCTGAGACACGGGTTAGTTAACTCTCAACTAGAGAAGAGTCTATAGAGCTGAGACACGGGTTAGTTATCTCTCAACTAGAGAGGAGTCTATAGAGCTGAGACACGGGTTAGTTAACTCTCAACTAGAGAGGAGTCTATAGAGCTGAGACACGGGTTAGTTATCTCTCAACTAGAGAAGAGTCTATAGAGCTGAGACACGGGTTAGTTAACTCTCAACTAGAGAAGAGTCTATAGAGCTGAGACACGGGTTAGTTATCTCTCAACTAGAGAAGAGTCTATAGAGCTGAGACACGGGTTAGTTATCTCTCAACTAGAGAGGAGTCTATAGAGCTGAGACACGGGTTAGTTAACTCTCAACTAGAGAGGAGTCTATAGAGCTGAGACACGGGTTAGTTAACTCTCAACTAGAGAGGAGTCTATAGAGCTGAGACACGGGTTAGTTATCTCTCAACTAGAGAGGAGTCTATAGAGCTGAGACACGGGTTAGTTAACTCTCAACTAGAGAAGAGTCTATAGAGCTGAGACACGGGTTAGTTATCTCTCAACTAGAGAAGAGTCTATAGAGCTGAGACACGGGTTAGTTATCTCTCAACTAGAGAGGAGTCTATAGAGCTGAGACACGGGTTAGTTATCTCTCAACTAGAGAAGAGTCTATAGAGCTGAGACACGGGTTAGTTATCTCTCAACTAGAGAGGAGTCTATAGAGCTGAGACACGGGTTAGTTAACTCTCAACTAGAGAAGAGTCTATAGAGCTGAGACACGGGTTAGTTAACTCTCAACTAGAGAAGAGTCTATAGAGCTGAGACACGGGTTAGTTATCTCTCAACTAGAGAGGAGTCTATAGAGCTGAGACACGGGTTAGTTAACTCTCAACTAGAGAGGAGTCTATAGAGCTGAGACACGGGTTAGTTATCTCTCAACTAGAGAGGAGTCTATAGAGCTGAGACACGGGTTAGTTAACTCTCAACTAGAGAGGAGTCTATAGAGCTGAGACACGGGTTAGTTAACTCTCAACTAGAGAGGAGTCTATAGAGCTGAGACACGGGTTAGTTAACTCTCAACTAGAGAAGAGTCTATAGAGCTGAGACACGGGTTAGTTAACTCTCAACTAGAGAAGAGTCTATAGAGCTGAGACACGGGTTAGTTATCTCTCAACTAGAGAAGAGTCTATAGAGCTGAGACACGGGTTAGTTATCTCTCAACTAGAGAAGAGTCTATAGAGCTGAGACACGGGTTAGTTATCTCTCAACTAGAGAAGAGTCTATAGAGCTGAGACACGGGTTAGTTATCTCTCAACTAGAGAGGAGTCTATAGAGCTGAGACACGGGTTAGTTATCTCTCAACTAGAGAGGAGTCTATAGAGCTGAGACACGGGTTAGTTATCTCTCAACTAGAGAGGAGTCTATAGAGCTGAGACACGGGTTAGTTATCTCTCAACTAGAGAGGAGTCTATAGAGCTGAGACACGGGTTAGTTATCTCTCAACTAGAGAGGAGTCTATAGAGCTGAGACACGGGTTAGTTATCTCTCAACTAGAGAAGAGTCTATAGAGCTGAGACACGGGTTAGTTAACTCTCAACTAGAGAGGAGTCTATAGAGCTGAGACACGGGTTAGTTAACTCTCAACTAGAGAGGAGTCTATAGAGCTGAGACACGGGTTAGTTAACTCTCAACTAGAGAAGAGTCTATAGAGCTGAGACACGGGTTAGTTAACTCTCAACTAGAGAGGAGTCTATAGAGCTGAGACACGGGTTAGTTATCTCTCAACTAGAGAAGAGTCTATAGAGCTGAGACACGGGTTAGTTATCTCTCAACTAGAGAAGAGTCTATAGAGCTGAGACACGGGTTAGTTAACTCTCAACTAGAGAAGAGTCTATAGAGCTGAGACACGGGTTAGTTAACTCTCAACTAGAGAGGAGTCTATAGAGCTGAGACACGGGTTAGTTATCTCTCAACTAGAGAGGAGTCTATAGAGCTGAGACACGGGTTAGTTAACTCTCAACTAGGGAGGAGTCTATAGAGCTGAGACACAGGTTAGTTATCTCTCAACTAGAGAGGAGTCTATAGAGCTGAGACACGGGTTAGTTAACTCTCAACTAGAGAAGAGTCTATAGAGCTGAGACACGGGTTAGTTATCTCTCAACTAGAGAAGAGTCTATAGAGCTGAGACACGGGTTAGTTATCTCTCAACTAGAGAGGAGTCTATAGAGCTGAGACACGGGTTAGTTAACTCTCAACTAGAGAGGAGTCTATAGAGGTGAGACACGGGTTAGTTATCTCTCAACTAGAGAGGAGTCTATAGAGCTGAGACACGGGTTAGTTAACTCTCAACTAGAGAGGAGTCTATAGAGCTGAGACACGGGTTAGTTAACTCTCAACTAGAGAGGAGTCTATAGAGCTGAGACACGGGTTAGTTAACTCTCAACTAGAGAGGAGTCTATAGAGCTGAGACACGGGTTAGTTAACTCTCAACTAGAGAGGAGTCTATAGAGCTGAGACACGGGTTAGTTAACTCTCAACTAGAGAAGAGTCTATAGAGCTGAGACACGGGTTAGTTAACTCTCAACTAGAGAAGAGTCTATAGAGCTGAGACACGGGTTAGTTATCTCTCAACTAGTTCACTCAACTTGTTAACTCTTGAAAACACACTTGTTAATAACTCTTGAAAACACTCAGTAGTTAAATAATCTGAGTTTTTGTTGACTTAACTAGTTAAATAACGAGCTGTGTTCGGTGTTATCTAGTAAGCAGAGATGTCTACTAGTAAACTCAATTAATGGATTAGTTAATGAAGCTCAATGAGGTAACCTATGAACAACTAGTGCATTATTCAGAGTGTTGCCGGTGTTGTCGGAACTAGTGCTCAACATGATTGGTCATTTTTAACTGGAGAACCAATAGGAAGCCTCAACAAGGCGTATGTCCCGCCTCCTCGTTAGCATTTTGTCACTAGTAAACACTTTAAACTTCACTAGTTAGTTAACTCCTAGTTAGCAGTTGTGGGAGGAGCTTACATGATGTTAGCGTGTGCCTTTGTGCTGGTAATGAACGCCAGGTAGAGCTCGTTCTCGTACAGCGGTACGTCGTCGCAGTACAGAGCCTCGCCGGTCGCCTGCTGCAGCGCAGAGAGGTGCATCATGGGACGTCCCACCACGTCCTCCAGGCTCCGCCCCTCTGGCACCGCCTGCAGGACACAGGGGGCGTTACAGTGGATTTAAAGGTCTCCTATTATACTGTTTTTAGGCATATATCACAGGTCTCAGATATATCCAGAGCCTGTCTCTGATTGGCTGAAACACCAAACAGATCATTGCAGCGTTACCCATAATCCCCTCTGCTTCAGCCCTGTTTCCAAAGTGCTGATTCTCTGTCTGTTACTTTAGATGAAAATAAAGAGCCCCTCCCCACGCCCCTCTGAGAGAGATTTGGTTACAAAGAACTCAATGGTGCTCTAGGAGGAGAATCAGGTGATAAGGGGGGGGGGGGGGGGGGGGGTTGCTGATTGGCTAATGGTTACACAAGACAAAACATCGTTATGACATCATAAAGTGACCCGAATCTGATCAGCTCATTTTCAGACAGGTTTTTATAGAAATGGATCAAAAAGAGAGAGAATCTTTGTTCCTGAAACTTTCAGAGTCTCTTTCCACAGAGGGGACACATGTTGATGAAGAAGAGACATGAAGAAGAGGGGACACATGTTGATGAAGAAGAGACATGAAGAAGAGGGGACACATGTTGATGAAGAAGAGACATGAAGAAGAGGGGACACATGTTGATGAAGAAGAGACATGAAGAAGAGGGGACACATGTTGATGAAGAAGAGACATGAAGAAGAGGGGACACATGTTGATGAAGAAGAGACATGAAGAAGAGGGGACACATGTTGATGTAGAAGAGACATGAAGAAGAGGGGACACATGTTGATGTAGAAGAGACATGAAGAAGAGGGGACACATGTTGATGAAGAAGAGACATGAAGAAGAGGGGACACATGCTGATGAAGAAGAGACATGAAGAAGAGGGGACACATGTTGATGTAGAAGAGACATGAAGAAGAGGGGACACATGCTGATGAAGAAGAGACATGAAGAAGAGGGGACACATGTTGATGTAGAAGAGACATGAAGAAGAGGGGACACATGCTGATGAAGAAGAGACATGAAGAAGAGGGGACACATGTTGATGTAGAAGAGACATGAAGAAGAGGGGACACATGTTGATGAAGAAGAGGGGACACATGTTGATGTAGAAGAGACATGGAGAAGAGGGGACACATGTTGATGTAGAAGAGACATGGAGAAGAGGGGACACATGTTGATGTAGAAGAGACATGAAGAAGAGGGGACACATGTTGATGAAGAAGAGACATGAAGAAGAGGGGACACATGTTGATGTAGAAGAGACATGGAGAAGAGGGGACACATGTTGATGTAGAAGAGACATGAAGAAGAGGGGACACATGTTGATGAAGAAGAGACATGAAGAAGAGGGGACACATGTTGATGAAGAAGAGACATGAAGAAGAGGATTTTGCACAATAGGTGACCTTTAAATGCTTCTGTAATTGTTTAGTTGTCAGAGCCCCCTGTACCTGGTAGATCTGAGCACTGCAGGGGGTCTCTGGGTGAAAGATCTCTGATGCACTCAGGTATTCAGACTGAAGCTCCTCCCCCTTCACCCCCTGATCTCTGAGCTTCTGGAGAACCGTCAGGTAGAATTTATAGAAGAGACTCAGGGTCAAAGTTCGCCGATACGTCACCATGCCGCCGGGCGCAGAGGGGTCGAGGGTCATCTCCTCGGCCAATGAGGAGCAAGCTTCCTGCAGGAGCTCCTCCCCCCAAGGCCTACCAAAGATAGAGGATTATTATATATACACTGCAGCTTTGCTTTGATCTCTAATTGTATTAATGTTTCTCATTCTCTCCCTGTTGCTGTTAAACTCCTGAGTTCCCCCACAGGGATTCATAAAGCTCCATGTGATGTGATGTGATGTGATGTGATGTGTGTGATGTGATGTGATGTGATGTGATGTGATGTGATGTGATGTGATGTGATGTGATGTGATGTGATGTGATGTGATGTGATGTGATGTGATGTGATGTGATGTGATGTGATGTGATGTGATGTGATGTGATGTGATGTGATGTGATGTGATGTGATGTGATGTGATGTGATGTGATGTGATGTGATGTGATGTGATGTGATGTGATGTGATGTGATGTGATGTGATGTGATGTGATGTGATGTGATGTGATGTGATGTGATGTGATGTGATGTGATGTGATGTGATGTGATGGGATGGGATGGGATGGGATGTGATGTGATGTGATGTGATCTGATCTGATCTGATGGGATGTGATGTGATGTGATGTGATGTGATGTGATGTGATGTGATGTGATGTGATGTGATGTGATGTGATGTGATGTGATGTGATGTGATGTGATGTGATGTGATGTGATGTGATGTGATCTGATCTGATCTGATCTGATCTGATGTGATGTGATGTGATGTGATCTGATCTGATCTGATCTGATCTGAATGCTTTTATTGTCTTTCATTTTGTAAAGCACTTTGAATTGCCCTAAAATGGGCTATATAAGTAAACTTGCCCTGCCTACCTATCATGAGTTATTGATCACCTGACTTCCTGACTTCACTTCTTCTCTTACCTTCCCAGCAGTTTGTTCCCCGTCTTCATGGCCAGTTTGGTAGTGGCCGCCATGCCTCCATAGCTCAGCCTCAGCTCCTCCACGATGTCCGTCCCTGAGGAGAAGACGACGCTCATCGCTGCCGTCACGACGCTGATGTCGTCCTCACGCCGAGGAGACTGTTTGAAGGCCGACACGAACTGATTCTGAGGAGATAAATATGATAGGATAATACTTTAATGGTTAGATGAAGTCTGAAATGCTCCTTGCTGACTGGAGCACAGAGGATGCTTCAGACTGACTGGAGTACAGAGGATGCTCCTTGCTGACTGGAGCACAGAGGATGCTTCAGGCTGACTGGAGCACAGAGGATGCTCCTTGCTGACTGGAGCACAGAGGATGCTCCTTGCTGACTGGAGCACAGAGGATGCTTCAGACTGACTGGAGTACAGAGGATGCTCCTTGCTGACTGGAGCACAGAGGATGCTTCAGGCTGACTGGAGCACAGAGGATGCTTCAGGCTGACTGGAGCACAGAGGATGCTTCAGACTGACTGGAGCACAGAGGATGCTCCTTGCTGACTGGAGCACAGAGGATGCTCCTTGCTGACTGGAGTACAGAGGATGCTTCAGACTGACTGGAGCACAGAGGATGCTTCAGACTGACTGGAGTACAGAGGATGCTCCTTGCTGACTGGAGCACAGAGGATGCTTCAGACTGACTGGAGCACAGAGGATGCTTCAGACTGACTGGAGCACAGAGGATGCTTCAGACTGACTGGAGCACAGAGGATGCTTCAGACTGACTGGAGCACAGAGGATGCTCCTTGCTGACTGGAGTACAGAGGATGCTTCAGACTGACTGGAGTACAGAGGATGCTCCTTGCTGACTGGAGCACAGAGGATGCTTCAGACTGACTGGAGTACAGAGGATGCTCCTTGCTGACTGGAGCACAGAGGATGCTCCTTGCTGACTGGAGTACAGAGGATGCTCCTTGCTGACTGGAGCACAGAGGATGCTCCTTGCTGACTGGAGTACAGAGGATGCTCCTTGCTGACTGGAGCACAGAGGATGCTCCTTGCTGACTGGAGCACAGAGGATGCTCCTTGCTGACTGGAGTACAGAGGATGCTCCTTGCTGACTGGAGTACAGAGGATGCTTCAGACTGACTGGAGCACAGAGGATGCTCCTTGCTGACTGGAGCACAGAGGATGCTTCAGGCTGACTGGAGCACAGAGGATGCTTCAGACTGACTGGAGCACAGAGGATGCTTCAGACTGACTGGAGCACAGAGGATGCTTCAGGCTGACTGGAGCACAGAGGATGCTTCAGGCTGACTGGAGCACAGAGGATGCTTCAGGATGACTGGAGCACAGAGGATGCTCCTTGCTGACTGGAGCACAGAGGATGCTTCAGGATGACTGGAGCACAGAGGATGCTCCTTGCTGACTGGAGCACAGAGGATGCTTCAGGCTGACTGGAGCACAGAGGATGCTCCTTGCTGACTGGAGTACAGAGGATGCTCCTTGCTGACTGGAGCACAGAGGATGCTCCTTGCTGACTGGAGCACAGAGGATGCTTCAGGCTGACTGGAGCACAGAGGATGCTCCTTGCTGACTGGAGCACAGAGGATGCTCCTTGCTGACTGGAGCACAGAGGATGCTTCAGACTGACTGGAGCACAGAGGATGCTTCAGACTGACTGGAGCACAGAGGATGCTTCAGGCTGACTGGAGCACAGAGGATGCTCCTTGCTGACTGGAGCACAGAGGATGCTTCAGGCTGACTGGAGCACAGAGGATGCTTCAGGCTGACTGGAGCACAGAGGATGCTTCAGACTGACTGGAGCACAGAGGATGCTTCAGGCTGACTGGAGCACAGAGGATGCTTCAGACTGACTGGAGCACAGAGGATGCTTCAGGCTGACTGGAGCACAGAGGATGCTTCAGACTGACTGGAGCACAGAGGATGCTTCAGGCTGACTGGGTCCCAGAGGAGGCTGTAAACATCACATGTGATGGTTTCTACCTTCTTGCTGTACGGGATGAGGATGGACAGCAGGATCTCCTGCGGGCGCAGAATGGTCTTCCTGTAGCCGGTGAAGAAGCTGTCGTCCATCTGAACCTCCCTGCTGCCGTCTGAGGGTCAAAGGGCAACAACTGTTCATACAAACTCCCCTGATGTGTTGAAAGACTCTTAAAAAGGACATATCCTGCTGATGTTCAGGTGTATATCAGTATGTAGTGTCTCTACTTTAAAGAGTCCTCTCCTGCTGATGTTCAGGTGTATATCAGTATGTAGTGTCTCTACTTTAAAGAGTCCTCTCCTGCTGATGTTCAGGTGTATATCAGTATGTAGTCTCTCTACTTTAAAGAGTTCTCTCCTGCTGATGTTCAGGTGTATATCAGTATGTAGTGTCTCTACTTTAAAGAGTCCTCTCCTGCTGATGTTCAGGTGTATATCAGTATGTAGTGTCTCTACTTTAAAGAGTCCTCTCCTGCTGATGTTCAGGTGTATATCAGTATGTAGTGTCTCTACTTTAAAGAGTCCTCTCCTGCTGATGTTCAGGTGTATATCAGTATGTAGTCTCTCTACTTTAAAGAGTTCTCTCCTGCTGATGTTCAGGTGTATATCAGTATGTAGTGTCTCTACTTTAAAGAGTCCTCTCCTGCTGATGTTCAGGTGTATATCAGTATGTAGTGTCTCTACTTTAAAGAGTCCTCTCCTGCTGATGTTCAGGTGTATATCAGTATGTAGTGTCTCTACTTTAAAGAGTCCTCTCCTGCTGATGTTCAGGTGTATATCAGTATGTAGTGTCTCTACTTTAAAGAGTCCTCTCCTGCTGATGTTCAGGTGTATATCAGTATGTAGTGTCTCTACTTTAAAGAGTCCTCTCCTGCTGATGTTCAGGTGTATATCAGTATGTAGTGTCTCTACTTTAAAGAGTCCTCTCCTGCTGATGTTCAGGTGTATATCAGTATGTAGTGTCTCTACTTTAAAGAGTCCTCTCCTGCTGATGTTCAGGTGTATATCAGTATGTAGTGTCTCTACTTTAAAGAGTCCTCTCCTGCTGATGTTCAGGTGTATATCAGTATGTAGTGTCTCTACTTTAAAGAGTCCTCTCTTGCTGATGTTCAGGTGTATATCAGTATGTAGTGTCTCTACTTTAAAGAGTCCTCTCCTGCTGATGTTCAGGTGTATATCAGTATGTAGTGTCTCTACTTTAAAGAGTCCTCTCCTGCTGATGTTCAGGTGTATATCAGTATGTAGTGTCTCTACTTTAAAGAGTCCTCTCCTGCTGATGTTCAGGTGTATATCAGTATGTAGTGTCTCTACTTTAAATAGTCCTCTCCTGCTGATGTTCAGGTGTATATCAGTGTGTAGTGTCTCTACTTTAAAGAGTCCTCTCCTGCTGATGTTCAGGTGTATATCAGTATGTAGTGTCTCTACTTTAAAGAGTCCTCTCCTGCTGATGTTCAGGTGTATATCAGTATGTAGTGTCTCTACTTTAAAGAGTCCTCTCCTGCTGATGTTCAGGTGTATATCAGTATGTAGTGTCTCTACTTTAAAGAGTCCTCTCCTGCTGATGTTCAGGTGTATATCAGTGTGTAGTATCTCTACTTTAAAGAGTCCTCTCCTGCTGATGTTCAGGTGTATATCAGTATGTAGTGTCTCTACTTTAAAGAGTCCTCTCCTGCTGATGTTCAGGTGTATATCAGTATGTAGTGTCTCTACTTTAAAGAGTCCTCTCCTGCTGATGTTCAGGTGTATATCAGTATGTAGTGTCTCTACTTTAAAG